TTGAAATAAAATATAAAATGTCACATAAAAATTATGGGGCACAGCTTAGAAGGAAATCTATGCACTTGATTATGTTAGAAAAGAAGAAAGCATCCATCTCAAAAAGTAAACACGTCTGTTTCATGAAGTAGAAAATAAGGACAGAAAAATGAATGTAAAGAGAGGAAAGATTGGGGCCAGCCCCATGGCCAAGTGGTTAAGTTTGTGTGCTCCACTTCGGCATCCCCAGGTTTCGCTGGTTTGGATCCTGGGCGTGGACCTAGCACCGCTCATCAAGCCATGCTGAGGTGGCATCTCACATAGCACAACCAAAGGCACTCACAACTAGAATATACCACTATGTACTGGGGGGCTTTGGGGAGAAGAGGGAAAAAAATAAAGAAGATTGGCAACAGGTGTTAGCTCAGGGCCAATCTTTAAAAAAAAAAAAAAGAAAGGAAAGATGGAGTAAAAACTAAAGCAGGAAATAAAATAGAAAACAACAGAGAAGTTAACAAAAGTGCCATCTCACTCCCAAAGGTGTTGATATCCTTTTGTCTCCATGCATGGGTGGAAGATATTTTTTGTTTTTCTTTTATTCTCATTACTCATGTGAAAAGAATAGGGAGATGTCAGTATTCTAGTTTCTTTATATCTATCCCTGAATCACCAGTCTTCCACCTCATGTAAAAATCCCTCTCCATTTAAAATAATGGAATTATAACAATAGCCCCTTTTCTGCTCCACTTTTCTGTCTTTAGTATAGTCCTTCATATCATTAGCCACTTTTATTAAAGTTTCTGGCAATCTAACTGAGGATTTATCTTAAGAATTTAAAACAAAAACAAAATAACTGTGGTTGACTTATCCAACAACTCATCTTGGATCTATTCAACCTCAGAAACTTAAAAACATCAGTATATCATTCTGTGACCATAGCCCTTCTGAAGGAACAAACAAGCAAACAAACAAACAAAAAAGAAGTCTAAATATAAAAAATATTAAGACCTTAAAGAATGTAGGTATTTGATTAGTGAAACTTAACCTTTTAGAGATCAGTTGCATGTGAAATGAAAGTCTATGTTGTGGTAAATTAATGTTGTTGGAGTCAATGTTATTGGTCATTTACATCATCAATAACTCCATCACTTTGGTTTCTCCATTTTCTCCAACATTAGCAAATAATTCCTTCCCTCACTTTCTGACCTGGAAGCATCACATGGAGAGTTATTTGGAGCAGCATTCTGTTTTCAAGCCTCTTTTTAATTTTTTTTTTACATATCCCTCGCTTGATCTCCCTAGTCCACATCCATGGTTTAAATATTATTTATATGTTGATGCCTCTCAATCCCAGTCTAAGCCCCAGACTAGAATATTTCACAACTTAGTGGGAGTCTCCAATTTGGTAAACTCATAAGGACTTCCAACTAACTAAATGCATTCAACACTGAACTCTTCCTCTCCCTGGCCAGATTTCTTGACTAGAGACCTGGCATCCTATGTATTGTTAGTGGAATAATCACCAACCTAGTCTCTCACCATAAACCTAGAAACTTTTGAAGTCTCTCAATTCTCCACTGCACTTATCGACTAGTCGAAAAGTAAATCAATTTTTAGTATCTCTTGACAATATCTTCTCTCCTCCATTCTTACAACTACTGCTCTACATTTCAAATATGAATTACTGAAAAGCCTTCATACACATTGCTTAAAATGGATGATCTAAAACACCTAACTGAAAAGAGACTTGTCCTAGTCCATTTGGGCTGCTATAATGAAATTACCATAGACTGAGTGGCTTAAACAACAACATTTATTTTTCACAAGCGGCAATGTTGCCTTCACCTCAGGTTCAAAGGCTAGCACTACTGGCCAGCAGAGCAATGGGGGTGGGGCCGCCCTGAGCCACGGTGGCTTGACCCTCACTCAAGAGAGCCACAGGGGTGTAACTCCCCACCACAGTGGTTTCTGAAGGTGGAACTGCAGCCCCATTGGGTCCAGAATATAGAGCGTGGAGCCAAAGAAGTTTATTCTCAAGCATTAAGGTCTAATGATGTTTGCCTTGCTAGGCTTTGGACTTGCTTTGGGACCTGTCATCCCTTTCTTTCTTCTAATTTCTCCCTTTTAAAATAGGAATGTCTATCCTATGCCTGTTGCACCATTGTATTTTGGAAGCACATAATTTATGTAGTTTTACAGGTTCACAATTGAGGAGGAATTTTGCCTCTAGAAGAATTATACCTAGAGTCTCATCCATATTTTATTTAGAAGATATTTGGATGTGACTTTTGGACTTGAGAGTTGATGCTGGAATGTTAAGACTTATATTCATATGTTGAAGCCCTAACCTCCAATATGATTGTATTTGGAGATGTGCCCTTTTGAAGGTAATTTGATTTAGATGAGATCATGAGGGTGGGGCCCTCATGATGAGATTGGTGCTGTTTTAAGAAGAGATACCAGAGAGTTTTGCTTTCTCTCTCTCTTTCTGCTATGTAAGGATGCAGGAAGAAAGCGGCCATATCCAAGCCAGGAAAAGAACTCTCAGCAAAACCTGACCATGCTGACATCCTGATCTTTGACTTCTCAGCCTCTAGAATTGTGAGAAAGTAATTTTTCATTAAAGCAGCTGATGCAAGCAAAGAGGGATTAAACTTTAATTAATACATTTAAATTACAAATTGTGAAATACATACATTATAACTCACAGAAAATAAGTCAACATGGAAGAAGAGCCACTTGAAGAATGGTGAAATTGAAAACATTCTGTAACAATTATATACATAACCACATGCAGATTTCTCATATGTACAGGCTAGAATTCATAGAGTTCTGCATATTAGAACTTCTTTTAGAAATGGATGTTTATTCCTGACAGTCAATCTAAAGGTCAAATACAGCTTTTTCAGTGAATAACTTGACACATTTTTGTGTTCTGAAGTTCTGACTCTTACGTCTGCTTTATTGTCTGCCAAAATATCATTATTTCTGTACATTCTTAGAGCTATTTTGTTTCTAGGATGTTGGGAAGTGATTCTTAATTCCAAGAGTAATAAATCATGTTCTCAGGGCAAGTTGTAGAGTCGGTCATAGAAGACATTTACTTAAAACTTTTCAGAATACAGAAAACAACACAGAACATTAAAACAATTACCTATGTTATTGGATATCACTATGCATATCATACATATTTCATATCCACACACACACAACATTAAATTACTAGGTGGATAAAAACGTTAATTAGTAGACCTAATATTTAAAAAAATAAAAATTGCTTAAGAAGAGAAGGCTGATTAAAAAAAATTGTTTAAAACATAAGAGCTAAAGAACCACTGCCTGTAGTAGGTATAAAAAATACAGTAATATAAGAGCAGTTATTCCTAGGAATAATAAATAAATAAATAAATAAATAAATAAATAAATAAATAAACATCCCTATTGACTCCAAACTCAGAGTCTTCTAATTGATAAATTAAATTGAAGCTTGAGGCAGTCAGAGGGTAAGTAATTAAAATTGAATCCAGAGTAACTCTGAAAATTGGGATGATCTATTTTGAGTGGGTTACACATTTATATTTATGAATGAGTGGGCTTGGATAGAGTGTTATTATTTAGCTCATTTCTAATTATTAAAAAAAGTTATTTTAATATCACAATATATGACCGTATATATATTGCATTTCAGTATATCATATCTTCAGAATATCATAGATATTCTATTTCAGTATATACATGTTTTGGATTGTTATAATAAAACATTATAAAAAATGATTTAAAAAGGAAAAATTAAAGACAAAATAAAGCTAATGAAATGTATGTTAGTGATAGTATTAAAGGCATTTTTCTCAAAATATGATATCTGAAATGTCTTAAATAATATAGCCAAACATTCTTGCTTATCAGGCAAATATCTGCTATATTTTGTAAATGTGAAACCAAGAACAGAGTAAGAAGTGGTATAGTACTAAGTGATTTGATATTTTCTTTGAGCTGAATGTGTCAGACATCTAGCTCATCAAATCATGAACTGTCTGATCAGGAAAAACCACCCCTACTCCTGTCATAGAATAACTCATATTCTATGATGGTAAGGAAAGTAAGGTAAGGAAAGAAGAAGGGATGGATATTAAACACACAAACAAACGAAAAGACTGGACTCTGTTTTCTGTTTGAATACAAGAGAATGCTATGGTACACAGTGACTACACATATGGAAAGATGATTTTTTATCTTCCCTTTATATTTTGGAGAAAACTAAAGCCTGCCTTTGGGGGAGATCAACATTACAGCTCTCATCGGCTTATTGCAGCTGTAAATAAGCAATTGTTGTCTTATCCAGATCATTAAGCATTTTTATTTAGTTGCAATAAAGACTAGCCAATTTAAAATTAAACAGAAAAGTGAATATCAAAAGCTCCAGCTGTATAAGACCTCAAAATTTGACATGAAATGAAAATTGTCTTGTGTTATAGTTACACTCATTTAAAGAAGCTCAAATCAATTTTATTCATACATTTTATAAAAAGAGCAAATAATCAAATGTACATATCAAGTGTACAGGTTCAAAACTTAAATGTTAAACTTAATTCACCACAAGCCTTTACTAGCTCTCACTTTTCTACCTTTCCATACACAATGTCCTTGGAAAACACCAAAAGGAGCAAGCTTTGATTTCAGGAGTTGATTATTCTACTATCCTCTTTATTGGTCTCCTTCCTTCAATTTTCAAAAGTCAGCAATTGAAATTAGACCTCCCTGAGTTTCCTTAAAATGCACTTGATTATGATATCCTCTATTTAGAAACAGTAGGTTCTTTCCCTATTGCTCAGGACAAAGTATTGTTGCTACAGCCCATCTCTTAAGGCACACCGTAATTGAGTCTCACACATTACAGCCAATTCCCTCTAAAACAGCCCCAGCATTCTCTTCAGCAACCCTTTGTACTTTAAGTCGTTCCTCTTACCCAGAAACCTTCTCCCATCCCACCCTATTGATATTCAATGTCTCATTCTTCAAAGGTTGTTCATCATTCAAAGTTAAGCACACAACTTTCCAACTCCACGAAGTTTTCTGCAGCTACAACATCTGTGTATGTTGCATCATCTGTACATGTTGCATTCAGTAATCAACTGAATCACAGTAAGATATATTTACTTGTGTTTTTGTTTAATATTTTCATAAATATTTATTCCAAATCTCTAAAGATATATTTTTATTTATTGTGGCATATAAGCCTCAACTAAGAAAATATGCCCATAGCTAAATCTTTCCAAATTTATATTTAAAAAAAATGTTAATCCACATCTATTGAGTACTCACTCTTTAATGAGCGTAATGCTAAGTATTATTTTAATGCAAATGATAGTCTTATTTCAAAGCTTCCTGTTACTTTTATCTGGGTACTTTAATCTATTACTTATACCTATTTACCCACCAATCTGCACCCAGTTGGATAAAATGCCCCCAGATTTTCACGGTCAACTTGATTCCTCTTTCTGCTTTGAGATATGCAATGTTAAGCTGCCCTAAATCTTACCATTTTAGGAACAAACTCTTAAATAACTTAGCTGTCACACTAATTTCTGACTATCTAGGAGTAAGAAATAAAGCAACTTAATAAGGCCTTACTCTGTGTCTTTTCTCTGATGCATCTAAACTGAAACACAGAGAAAAGAAAATGACTGCACTGAAGATTGAGGCATCTCATTGTTTTTTTTTCATTTCATTATTTTTTGGTAGGTAGAGGGTTATTCTCTGGGAGTCCACAAGGTATCTTTACTTAGAATTATTGAGAATTAGTTTTGGATTTTTTTCAACCACTGTGTATTATATTTACATATGGATCAGATCTTGCATGATTGTATAATTGGATCAAAATGAGTTTCAAATTGACAGGACTTAAAATGCAAGACACTTGTTTCTTGCATTTAAAATTTCTTTCTTTCTTTTTTTTTTTTTTTTTTGAGGAAGATTAGCCCTGAGCTAACTGCTGCCAATCCTCCTCTTTTTGCTGAGGAAGACTGGCCCTAAGTTAACATCCATGCCCATCTTCCTCTACCTTATGTGTGGGACGCCTACCACAGCATGGCAGTGCCAAGCAGGGCCATGGGTGCACCCGGGATCCGAACCGGTGAACCCCGGGCTGCCGGGAAGCGGAACGTGTGAACTTAACTGCTGTGCCGGCCCCTAAAATTTCTTAAAAAACATTTGATGACGATTCTTATAACTGATTTTATAAGGTTGTTAAAAATTATTGTAAGAAAACAACATTAAATTCACCATCAACCTATTTCCAAGAATATAATTCATCAGTGTTAAGTATATTCACATGATTTGACTACGTTCAATATTTCTTGAAGGGAATTATATAGTATCAGTCCTTTTGCAACTGGCTTATTTCACTGGCATAATATCCTTGAGGTTCATCCATGCCATAGTACATGACAGTTTTTCCTCCATTTTACAGATGGCATAATATTCCATTGCATGCATAAAATTTGTGATGGACATTTGGGTTACTTCTACCTCTTGGCTATTGTGAACAATGCTGTGATGGACATGGGTGTATAAATCTCTCTTTAAGATCATGTTTTCAGTTTTTTTGGTATATATCTAGAAGTAGGATTTCTAGATCATATGGTAATTCTAATTTCAATTTTCTGAGAAACCTCCATACTGTTGTCCCTAATGGCTGCCCTATTTTACATTTCCACCAAGAATACACGAGAGTTTCAACTTCTCCGCACCCTCGTCAAGACTTATAATTTTCTGCTCTTTTGGTATTGGTGGTCCTAATGGATGTGAGGTGACATCTCATTGTGATTTTGATTTTGATTTCTCTAATTACTAGTGATGTTGAGCTTCTTTCCATTTGCTTATTGGGCATTTGCACACCTTTTTTTGGAGAAATGTCTATTTAACAACCTTTATGCATTTTTAAATAGGGTTATTTTTGTTGTTGTTGAGTTGTAGAAGTTCTTTATACATTCTGAATATTCATCCCTTATTCAATATATGATTCACAATTTTTTCCCCAATACATAGGTTACCTTTTCACTCTGTTCATTATTTACTTTGATGTGCAGAGATTTTTAAGTTTAGTGTAGTTCCATTTGTCTATTTTTTATTTTGTTGCCTGTGCTTTTTTGTGTTATATCCAAGAAATCATTGCCAAATTCAATTCCCTTATGTGTTCTTCTAGGAGTTTAATATTTTTAGATATTACTTTTAGGTCTTTAGTCCATTTTGAGACATTTTTGTACAGTAGTTCCCCTTTTCCACAGGGGATACATTCCAAGACCCCCAGTAGATGCCTGAAACCACAAATAGTATTGAAGACTATATATAGTATGTTTTTTCTTATACATATATACTTGAGGTGTATGTATAAGACTACACCTCAAGACTATATCACAGCAAGACTAGCACAAATTTCTTTTTTTTGTCCTTCATAATTTCATGGAGAGAAGGTTTGTTTTTATCAAAGATCTTAGCAACTTGAGCATATGATTTTTCTTTCCTTATGAAGTCTAGAACTTTCACCTTTTCCCTTAATGGAAGCGATTTATGACTTCTCTTTAACATGCTGAAATGCCAGCATCACTACTCTTGGATTAGCAGACATTTGGTCCTGTCCAAAACATCCATAAAACGTTGGGTCCATGACAAAATTTCCTTGATATTTGTTCATATCCAAGCAAGAGCTTTTCATGTGTAGTCTTTATTATGCTGAGCTATTTTCTTTCTCTTCCTAGTTTTCTTGAGAGTTTTTATTTTCAGGAAAGGGGGTTGAATTTTGTCAAACACTTATTCTGCGTCTTTGTAGATGATCACACGATTTTATCTTTAATTATGGTAACGTGGTATATCACATTAATTGATTTTCACATGTTGAACCACCCTTGCATCTCAGGGATAAATCCCACTTGATCATGGGATATGATCCTTTTTATGTGCTTTTGCATTTGGTTTGCTAGTATTTTGTAGATGATTTTTGCAACTATATTCATCAGGGATATTGCTTATACTTTTCTCTTCTTGTGGTGTTTTTCTTTGGCTGTGCTATCAGGGTAATTCTGGCCTCATAAAATGAGTTTAGAAGTCTTCTCTCCTTTTTAATTCTTTGAAAGAATTTGAAAAGAATTAGTGTTAATTCTTTAAATGTTTGTAGAATTCTCTAGTAAAACTATCTGATCTTGGGCTTTTCTTTGTTGGGAGGCTTTTGATTACTGCTTTTGTTTCCTCACTAGTGATAGGTCTGTTTAGACTGTATCTTTTTCATGATTTAGTTCTAAAAGGTTGAACGTTTCTAGGAATTTAGTTTTTTAGGTTCTCTAGTTTGTTGATGTATAAGCTCATAGTAGTCCCTTATGATATTTTGTATATCTGTGGTATCAGTTGTAAGTCTTTTCTCTCATTTCTCATTTTATTTATTTGAGCTTTCTCTCTCTTTTTATTGGTGTGTCTAGCTAAAGATTTGTCAATTTTGTTTATCTTTTGAAAGAAACAATCCTTAGCTTCATTCATCTTTTCTATTGTTTTTCAGTCTCTATTTCATTTATTTCTGCTCTGATCTGCTATTTCCCTCATTCTACTAGCCTTGGGCTTCATTTCTTCTTCTTTTTCTAGTTCCTTGAGGTGTAAAGTTAAGTTGTTTATTTGAGATTTTTCTTGTCTCTTCAGGTAATCAAGCATCTAGCAATATGAACTTTCTTCCTATTATGCTTTTGCTGCAACTCATAAGTTTTAGTATGCATGTTTTATTTTTTTTGTCTCAAGATATTTTCTAATTTCCTTTTTGATTTTTCCTTTGATTCAATCTTGTTCGAGTGTGTTTTTAAATTTCAACCTATTTGTGAATTTTTCCCTTTTCCTTCAGTCTTTGATTTCTAGTTTCAGACCATTATAATTACAAAAGATATCTGGTATAATTTCAATTTTTTTAAATGTGTTAAGATTTGTTTTGTCACTGAATATGTGGTCTATTCTGGAGAAATATCCATGTGCACTTGAGAAAAAATGTATATTTTGCTGCTATTGAGTGGAATATTCTGCGTATGTCTTTTAGATTGATTTGGTCTAAGTGCTATTCAATTCCTTATTTCTCTGTTGCTATTCAGTCTGGATGTCCTATCCTTTACTGAAAGTGGAGTATTGAAGTCTCTTACTATTATTGTATTGGTGTCTATTTATCCCTTCAGTTCTGTCAATCTTTGCTGTATATATTTAGATTCTCTGATACTGGGTGCATATATGTTTATACTGCTTATATCTTCTTGGTGGATTGATTCATTTCTCATTATATAATGTCCTTCTTTATCTCTTGTGACAATTTTTGATTTAAAGTCTATTCTTTCCAATATAAGTGTCATCATTCCTGCTTTCTTGGTTACCATTTACATGGAATATCTTTCTCCAATCTCCGCTTTTAGACTATTTGTTTCTTGATATTGAAAGTGAGTTTTTTCCAGACAGTATATAATTGTCTTTTAAAAAACATTTATTCAGCCACTCTATGTCTTTTGATTAGGGAGTTTAATCCATTTATATTTCAAATTTTATTGATAAGGGACAATTTAACATTGCCATTTTGTTAGTTTTCTATTAATATTATTTTTCTATTGCTGTATTTTCTTCTCATTGTCTTTTTCCGTGTTTTGTTGATTTTTTTTATATTAATATGCATTGGTTCCTTTCTTTTTTTATCTTTTGTGCAACTTCTATAGGTACTTTTTGTGTGTAGTTACTTTGGGGCTTACATAAAATATCTTATAGTTAAGGTAGTCTATGTTAAACTGATAACAACTTAAGCTCAATTGCATACAAAAACTCTACACTTTGACTTCTTTTCAGTTCATACTTTATTATTGTCATCACAATTTACATCTCTTCTTATTGTGTATCTTTTAACATGATTTTTTCTTCTCTATTTTAACTTTTATACCAGAATTAAAAGTGATTTACACACCATAATTAGCTTAATACTCTATCTTGTTTTCGTCTATTATTTATATATGTATTTTATCCTTTCTTATGCTATCATGTTGCTGTTGTCTGGGAATGTCTTTATGTCACCTTCATTTTTGAAGGACAGTTTTGTCAGGTGTAGTATTCTTGGTTGACATTTTTTTTTCCAGCATTTCAACTACATCATCCCACTCGCTCCAAACTTGCAAGATTTCTGCTGAAAAGCCCACTTATAGTCTTATGGTAGTTCTTTTCTACATGATATGTTGCTTTCTCTTGCCACTTTCAAAATTCTTTGTCTTTGACTTTTCACAATTTGATTATAAAGAGTCTTGGTGTGGATTTCTTTAGGTTCATCTTATTTGAGACATTTTGGGCTTTGGGCTTCTACACGTCCATTTCTTTCCTCAGATTTAGGAAATTTTAAGCCATTATTTCTTTGAATAAGCTTTCTGGTCCTCTCTCTTTTCTCTTTTTGGGACTTCCATCATCTGTTTACTGGTCTTGTTGATGTCTTACAAGTCCCTTGCTTTTTTTATTCTTTTATCTTCTCCTTTGACTGAATAATTAGCAATGATTTGTCTTCAAGTCCCCTGACCCTTTCTTCTGCTTAATCTGGTCTGATGCCCTTCCTAGACTACCTGGTATCATTGGGCCATGTTCATATTTGGAGATGGGAAGAGCAGAAGCCAGCAGGCTTGTCTTCTTATGTCATTTGGTAGAGGGATGGGAGATATCAGGCTTTATGAATGGTACCACTGTGTCTAATATAGGCTCCCATTCCCTGCCCTAGTTGTTGAGCTGAGATTGGCTCAGACTGTTGGGATTTCACTGCTGCCTTTGGAGGCAGATCAGTTAGCCAGTTACCTGGATATTGAATGAGAGTTAGTTTGGCCTCCCAGGGCTATTATATTGACAATGTGGGTGGGTTTAACAGCCTACCAATGCACTGATTGTGGAGTTTCTTTTGGGTTGGCCTATAACTCTTGAAGTTGCCACTGTAGTGGCACTCAGTGATTCACTGAATCACCACACATGTGTCTTGGCTCAAGAGCAGATGCTGGAACACCTTACTGGTTCTTTGTTGAGCTTTTCCATTCTCTGTCACTTGGCCAGAGAGAGCAAACTATTCTTGATATTTTTGTCTATGCCTGCTCATGGTTCTGTATTAAAGACTTCTCCAGCACCCAGTTTGGCATATACATGAGACATTAAAAGAAAACCCAGGGGGGCCGGCTCCGTGGCCGAGTGGTTAAGCTCGCGCGCTCCGCTGTGGTGGCCAGGGTTTGGATCCTGGGGACAGACATGGCACCGCTCGTCAGGCTACGTTGAGGCGGCGTCCCACATCCCACAACTAGAAGGATCTGCAAGTAAGATATACAACCGTGTACGGGCCGGGGGGGGGGGGGCGGTTGGGGAGATAAAGCAGAAAAAAGAAAAGAAAATTGGCAACAGTTGTTAGCCCAGGTGCCAATCTTTAAAAGAAAAAGAAAACCCAGGGAACTCACCCTGTTGCCATTCCTCAAGTCTAGAGGTCTCTAGCCAGTTTGTCATCTCCTTTGATCTTTCAGAGGGTTTTTATTTTGTTTGTTTGTTTTCCATTGAATTATTTCTGGGGTATTAGTTATATTTAGAAGGAATAATCAGAGAAAACTGAACCTATGCCACCTTGTTCCAGAAACTACATTGGCCACAGGTGTTGGATAAGGTTCTATATTAAAAACATAATCAAATATAAAGACGTTTTGAGTAACACTCCAAGGAACATTAAAAGCCAAGTCAACCATTATTTACTATATAAAGAATCAAGCTAGGCATCTTAGGAGATACTAACACTTGTGAAAATACAAATAATGCTCTTGAGTACTTCCAGTCTGACAAGTTGACGAGGAGGGTAATGTAGGGAGAAGAAAAGAAAACTAAATAACATTTTTCTCCAAGGAGGTATGTGGTAAGTACCATAAAAGAGATTTAAAAAATGAATACTTTATTACAAATATGTTTCTTAGATAATGTTATCAAGTAATTTATCACTTGAGGTTGGAAAAAAGGGGTATTATTGGGCCAGCCCCATGGTGCAGTGGTTAAATGTGGTATCCTCTGCTTCGGCAGCCTGGTTTTGTGGTTTTGGATCCCAGGTGTGGAACTACACCACTCATCAGTCATGCTGAGGTAGTAAGCCACATACAAAATAGAGGAAGATTGGCACAGATGTTAGCTCAGTGATAATCTTCCTCAAGCAAAAAAAAGAGGCAGTTTGGCAACAGATGTTAGCTCAGGGCAAATCTTCCTCACCAAAAAGAAAAAAAGAGGTATTATTACTTATGCCAATTTAACATGTGTAAATTGAGATAATCACAGCAATCCAAGATATATGGTCACTTTACCCTTAAGACCCTTTGTTTTAACTATTTATTGTAGAAACCTTCACACATATGCACATATTTAGAGAATAGTATAATGAATAATTATTTGCCTGCCATGCAGGTTTAATAACTATAAATCTATATCCAGTTTTCATTCTTCTATACACCTCCAGGTTTCTCTGCCCTATCAATATTTAAGAGCACGTTCTATGCAGTTTCTTGAGTCATTCCTTGATCAAAACATGCTAATCAATTTTATTGCATGCCTCTCTTTCTCCCCACCGGTCCTTCTCATAAGGACTTGCTTACATCTTGCTTTCTGTTTTACTTATAGGGCTGATGCACTAATGGTTCCACTCTGCCAGAAGACAGATCCTCAATGAATAGTCCTGGATACAGACCAGCTCAGAATAAGAAGCCAGACCACCTGTGACTCCCAGCCCTCTCAGCCTTCTTCTCTGGACCAATGTTTCCATATGGTGGCTTCATAATGACTATGATTGAAACTCTGTTGTACATGAGGATCACACTCCTGATACACTGGCTTGCAGTGTTTCTGTCCTCCTCTGGACACATGTGGCCTGAGAACCCCCAGTATCACAGTCCCCCAGAAGTGGTGATTCCCTTGAAGTTACCTCGTACTGGAAGAGGCATGAAACCTCCAGGCATGCTCTCTTACAGCCTGCATTTTGGAGGCAAGAGACATGTTGTCCATCTGAGGGTCAAGAAGCATTTGCTGTCTAGACACCTTCCAGTGTTCACCTACACAGACCAGGGTGCTCTCCTTGAAGAAAAGCCTTTTGTTCAGAATGATTGCTACTATCATGGTTATGTGGAAGGGGACCTGGAATCCCTGGTTGCCCTCAGTACCTGTTCTGGTGGATTTCAAGGATTGTTACAGATAAATAGCATTGTTTATGAAATTGAGCCCATGGATTTTTCTCCCAAATTTGAACATCTGGTATATAAAATGGATGAGACCCAATTCCCAACCACAAAATCTGACATTATGCAAGAGGACACTGTACACCAATTGGAGTTTCAAGAGACTGATAATTATACTCTGAAGCAAAGTTCTTATGTGGGCTGGTGGGTCCATAAGTTCCTTGTTGAAATGGCAGTGATTGTGGACCATACTCTCTACCTTCATTATGAAAAGAACGTCTCAAAGTTGCAGGATGATCTATATGTTATTGTAAATATAGTGGATTCCATTTATGAGGTAATGGGTATTAAGTTGTTATTACTTGGTATGGAGGTCTGGACTGAAAAAAACTACTTTGAAGTAGGTGATATAAGCAGATCTCTGAAGCAATTTTGTGAGTGGAAGTCCAAAAATTTTGCTCCCCGCGTGTCACATGATACTGCACATCTTTTTACATATAAGACATTAAGAGGATTAACTGGTTTAGGCTTCGTTGCAGGGCTGTGTAAATCACACAGAAATTGTGCAGTTGTTACTTGTGTTAACAAAACCTTGTCCATTATTGGAATTGCAATGGCTCATCATCTAGGTCATAATTTGGGGATGTTTCATGATGCTGACGAGTGTAAGTGTGCACATCCTACATGTATAATGCGCTATGATAACCCACCAATAACTCAATTTAGCAATTGTAGTTATAATTTCTTTTGGGAATATTCTATACGCCAGGCAAAATGTTTGATGTACACTGTGCATACAAAGGATGTGTTTACAATGAAGCGCTGTGGGAATGGCATTGTTGAAGAAGAAGAGGAGTGTGACTGTGGAATTTTAAGGAGTTGTTCAAAAGATCCCTGTTGTCTGTCAAACTGCACTCTGAGTTTTGGATCTATTTGTGCTTTTGGGCTTTGTTGCAAGGACTGCGAGTTTTTACCATCAGGGAGAGTATGTAGAAAGAAAGTCAATGAATGTGATCTTCCAGAGTGGTGCAATGGAACATCCCATATGTGTCCAGATGATGTATATGTGGAGGACGGAATTCCTTGTAATAGCAGTGCCTACTGCTATGAAAAAAGCTGTCATAACCGTGATGAACAGTGTAGGCAGATCTTTGGCCAAGAGGCAAAGAGTGCAAATAACAGTTGTTACAAACGAGTAAACACTAAAGGTGACCGTTTTGGTAACTGTGGTTTCAAAGACTTTTCATATGTAAAATGTGATAGCTCAGATAGCCTGTGTGGGAGGGTTCAGTGTGAGAATGTGACAAAAATTCCCCTTTTGAGTGATCATTCTACTGTGCATTGGACTCGCGTCAATGGTGCCATCTGCTGGGGTATAGACTACCATTTTGGGATGACTACACCTGATATTGGTGATGTGAAAGATGGCACAGAGTGTGGCCCAGAACACGTCTGCATCCACAGGAAGTGTGTCCATTTATCTCGCTTGGATAGTAATTGTTCACCTAAGTTTTGTAACATGAGGGGGATCTGTAACAATAAACATCACTGCCATTGCAACTATATGTGGGACCCTCCCAATTGCCTAATAAGAGGCAGTGGAGGTAGTATCGACAGTGGCCCACCCCCTAAGAGAGAGAAGATTAAGAAGATTTACGTGTTAGGATTTGTGCTTTTTTGGTTGATTGTTTTATTATGTTGTCTTCTTTTGCTTTGTAAGAAGAAAAAATCTAAGAAAAAAGACCAAAAAGTTCAGGCTGAAGTTAAAAAAGCAGAAAATGTCAAGACACAACAACCAAAAGAAAACCAAAATGTTCCTACTCAACAAGGAAAACATTTTCAAAACGTTCCAGTTCAACCTGCAAAAGAAGGTCAAAAATTGCAATATCAGTCTAGTGTGTCAATTTCTCAGAGTCAACGTGGGAAACAAAATCAGTCAATACAAAAAGGTGTATCTAAATAGGTATCTATTAAAAAAAGATAATTCTAGAATGTTTCTACTACTCTTCATTATTTTAAACAATTAGAATGTTTATTTTTCCTGAAATTTGTTTCTATATTTTCTTAGAAAAGGCATGGTACACAGGTGGTGCACCAGTTTTCAAGTTACTGCTTCTCAGCTCCAAAGCCACTTCCTATATTGTACTCTGCATTTTAGGAACCACATTTCTGCTGTACCAGCCCTCTACCTATAAGAATCTGCAATAGGGGGAATGAGTGGGAATTTGGAAATCTGGGAGATCTGTTTACTTCCTGTATGTCAATGTTACCTCAAAAACAGATTTTACACTGGCAGTTATACTTAGTTTCAATATCTCTTTTTTTCATATGGAGAACCCCCATTCCACATTGAAATTTGGTGCAGAATCTTAGTTGATGATCAGAATTGGGATCAGAGTCAGAACTGTACCAGGCAATTAGAGTTTTTCTAGTTGTCTTCAATGTCATTGATTTCTAGCTTAATTATACAGGATTTAGAGAAAATACTCTTCTTTATCAAAACCATATAAAATTTGTTGGGGCTTTCCTTCTGGCCTACCATAAGATAAACTTTGGTAATGGTCCATATGCAGATGAATCAAAGTGAACTTAGCCATTTTGGGGTTTAGTACTCCCTCACTTTATGCGTCTATTCGATCAAGTTTGTTAATTATATACTGAAAATCTTCTTATCCTGCAAGATTTATTGTCAACTCTTTCTATTACTGTTGAGAGAAGTGAGTTACAAGTCTCCCTCTTGGTGAGTATGGACTTGTTTATCTCCATGTTTTTCACTATGTATTTGAAGTTATATTAGTGGATACAAACACATTTAGGATTGTCATATCTTTCTAATGATTTGCTTTTTATCATTACAAAACATTTTCCCTTATTTCTGGTAATGCTTCATGCCTTAAAGTCTTTATTGTCAGATATTAAGAGAATTACACTAATTTAATTTGGTTACCATGTGCATGGAAAAAAATCTTTTTCAAGTTTTTACACTCTCTACATCTCTAGTTTTAATGTTTCCAATAAACAGCATAATGCTAGATTTTCTACTTTATTCACTCTGATATATCTCAGTCTTTTACTTGGTTAATGTAATCCATTTACATAGGCCTTATATCTACCATAGTCTTATTTCTTTTTCTATTTTCATATACCTGCATTATGTTTGTTTTCCTCCTCAGTTGCCTATATTTGTAGTAATCAAATATCATTTATTATGCTTTTTTCCTCCATTTACTTATATTTACATAATCTTATTATTATTCTAATAGTTACCCTAGAGATTGCAATATACATCTTCAGCATCATATAGCACAACCCATATCATTAATTTAGCTCTTCCCAATACTGCTAGAACCTTAGACTTTTTGACTATTTACATGCCTCTCAGCCTTTGTGACAAATATGCTTGCATTTTGTTCTGCATATATTTATAATCCATAAGATAGTATTAGCATTGTTTTGTGCAGTGAATTTTAATTATTTTACCTACATATTGACTGTTTCTTGTGTACTTCACACCACCGATACATTCATGTTTCTTTCAGGTATCATGTTTCTCCTGACTTAAAAAGAAAAGTTAGTATTTCTTTGAGTGCTGGCCTGCTGGTAATGATTTGTTTCCCAAGGAAAATTTTGTTCTCTTTCATGCTTGAAGGTTATTTTCACAAACTAAAGCATTCTTGTTTGGCACTACGTTTGAAAATTTGGATAAATAAACAAGTTTACTGAACTGGAATTATAAGGACTTTAAAATAAATATTATAAATTTGTTTTTAAAAATATATAAGAAAAGATGGGTAAGGGAATTTCAGGAGAAAAATAGAAACTCTGAAATATGGATATTTTAGAACTGGAAAATACAATATCTGAAATCAAAATTCATTGGATGAGTTTTATAATAAGTTGGACACTAAATAAAATATCAGTGAACTTGAAGATAGGTTGATAAGAATTATCCATATTGAAATATAGGGAAAAAAATTATTCATAAAAAAAATGAGCAGAGCATCAGTGCCCTGTGGATAATATCAAGCAATCTAACATACTTGTATTTTTGAAGTCCCAGAAAAAGAGGAGAGGGAAGATGTGACAGAAAAAGATTTTTGAAGAATTAATGGCCAAAAACCTTTCCAAATTTAATTTAAAATATCAATCCACAGACCTGAGAAGCTTAGCAAACTTCAAGCAGGATAAGTACAAAGAAAATCATATCCAAGTACATCATATTCAAACTGTTGAAAACCAAGGATGAAGGAGATGAGATGTAAAGAATGAGTAGGAGTTGGACAGGCAGGAGTGGTCAGGGATCAAGGGAGATTGTTTTAGGCAGAGTGGACAACATGTTTAAAGGCCCACAGCAAGTGGTTATAGGAATTGAAAGAAATTCTTTGGAGTTAAATGGAGAGTTAGACTACCAAGAGGTGAGATAAGAGAAATGAGCAAGAGCCAGAGAGAAAGCCTTGTGAGCACATTAACCTGAGGGAAATGGGAAACAAAATTGAGTTCTAGTCAGTATAATCAGATTTGTCTTTGTAAATAGTCACCATGGCTATAATATGTAGAATAGATTGGAGGGACACAAGATGGAGCCATGAAGAGGTTATTGCAGTAACCCAGGAATAAGAGAATACTGGAAAGAACTTGAGATGTGGCAGTAAAGATGGAGAGTTACAAATAGACTGGAGAACTATTTAAAAGCTAGGAGACATAGGACTTGAATTTTAGATATAAAAGAGAATAGAGTAAAGGGTGACTGTTAAAACTGTGTAACTTTTCCAAGTTTGCCTACCTACCCACATGCTATTCTCACTACTTTGTGCCAAATAGAATGATTGTCCTCAATGCAATTCTGATATGCCATCCTCCTACTTAAAGCTCTTCAGTGGTTCCCATAATGCCTCTTGGAAAAAAAAAAAAAACATCAATCACTAAGCATCAGGGAAATGCAAATCAAAACTACACTTAGACATCATCTTATGACCATTAGAATGACTGTAGTCACCAAGACAAAAAGCAACAAATGTTGGACAGGTTATGGACAAAAGGGAACCCTCATCCACTGGTGGTGGGAATGCAAACTGGTGCAGACACTGTGGAAAACAGTATGGAGATTTCTCAAAAAGTTAAAAATAGAAATACCATATGACCCAGCTATCCCACTACTGGCTATTTACCCAAAGAACTTGAAGTCAACAATTCAAAGAGACTTATTCACCCCTGTGTTCACTGCAGCATTATTCACAATAGCCAAGAGGTGGAAGCAACCCAAGTGCCCATTGACTGATGATTGGATAAAGAAGATGTGGTATATATATATATACACAATGGAATACTACTCAGCCATAACAAAAGATGAAATTGTCCCATTCACAACCACCTTGAGGGCATTATGTTAAGAGAAATAAGCCAGACAGAGAAGGATAAACACTATATGATTTCACTCATATGTGGAATCTAAACAGACTATGGACAAAGAGAACAAATTATTGGTTACCAAGGAAAGGGGTGGAGGGTGGTCACAAGGGGTGAAGGGACACACTTATATGGTATATGACAAATAATAATGTACAACTGAAATTTGACAACGTTGTAAGCTATTATGACTACAATAAAAAAAAATCTAAAATAAATAGATAAATTTAAAAAAATAGAGTTCAACATACACAAGGCTAAAAAACAAAAAAGAAGGTATCAAATACCGAGGAATTAAATGAGTAAAATAAGTGCAAAATTTCTACACTGACCAGTACAAAATATTGCTAAGAGAAATTAAACAAGATACAACTAAATAAGGTATATAACATATTTGTTGAATGAAGAACTAATTTTGTCTGTCAATTATATCTAGATTAATGTATAAATTGAAGAAAATACTAACCATAAGAACATATCTTATTTTTGTAAACTTGAGATGCTTAACCTAAAGTTGATGCAAAAACTCTGAGTGTGAAAAAAAATTGTGTTATCTTGAAGAAAAACAACATAGCTTGGAAGTTGCACTACTGGATAGCCAGATCTGTTATGAAACTACAGAAATTAAAATAATTTGATACTGACCAATGAAATAAAATAGGTAAATAGGATACCCATTTGTAAAAGATACATCTTTATCTCTACATCACACTGGTTAATTTCAGATCTAAGTGCCAAAGGCTAATCAATAAAACTTTGGAGGAAAACGTAGAAGTACAGTGTTATGACCTTGGAGTAGACAATGATTTCTTAAATAAAAAATAAAATTGGTAAGTTTAAAATAAAAATTGATAGATTAGACTACATTTAATTTGAGTATGTACTCACCAAAAAAGAGATTAAAAATGAAAATGCAAGCAACAGTTGTTTAGAAAATGTTTACATAACCCATATATTAAAAAGAACTCCTATCTAGGACAGATAAACCTCCTTCAAATCAATGTGAAATAGACATACAGTCCAATAGAAGATGCCAAAGAACTTGAACAATCATTTCTGAAAAGAGGCTCTCTAATGGCCAGCAAACTTATGAAAGTATGTTCAAAAGTATTAGTAAAGAGGGAAAAGCAAATTTCACTAAATCCTGCTCTATTTTCCTTTCAGTCACTTATGTGTCTTGCCTTCAAGGGGAGAAATCTTCAGCCTACTATCTACTCTGAACATTACCTAGCTTATGGCTACCTGGCCAATGGCCAACAGAGTAAAATCTTAATTGTGAAATGACACAATATTCTCAATAACCCTCTATCTGCTTCCATTTGTACCACTCAACTCTCCTATTTGGAAATACTATGATATATTTGAATAGCCCTTCAAACTATTTCTACATAAGCCCTAAGTTTCCCAAAATTCTAAGGGTTTTTTTTTTTTAGAATATTTTGTTCACAAAGAATACCTTTCCTTATCTTTTGAAATCCTTCCCATACTTCAAAAGTTATTATAGGTCAGTAAGATGGTAGAATAGGCAGTTCCTTGCTCATATCCCTCCACAGCAATAATCTGGCAGCCATCCATGGACA